CGAAGCTTTTTTTCTCAGCGTCGATAGCCCCATCGAGTCCTGGATCTTCAGCGCCGCTGAGTTCCACTGCTCACCGCACAAGGGGATTTTCGAGAAGTACACTACCAGAAACTACAGCAATGCCTACTTCGACGTGAAGAACAACAGGTCGCTGGACACTGTCAAAAAAAGCAACGTTCGGGTCAAGTTGCCGAACGGGGTGAGGTGGATCATCCACAATGTGAAGCACATTCCGGGTTTGGCGCGGAATTTGATTTCGGTAGGGCAATTGGGTAAGGAGGGTTATGCTATGCAAATGTCTAATGGGAGCTGGAAGCCCCAACCTCGACCAGCCACAAACCTGTAGTCACTGACGAGGTCCAGAAGGTCTTCAAAAGCTTCGACGCCAGCGGCGATGGCAAGATCTTCGTCAACGAGCTCAGCAACGACTTCAAGGCCCTTTGCTCCAAAACTCCGGCGACAAGCTCAAGCGCGTCAAGGTTGATCTCGACACCGACAACGATGACTTCATTTGCCTCGACGAGTTCAACGCCTTTTGGGTCTCCAGCTCGAAGGACGGCAGCGCCACTAAGCTCAAAAACACCAGTACTAGCAACAGCAGCACGTACAACACCTGTAGTAGTAACAGTTCATTCTATCCAATTTCTCCAGAGTCCCAAAGCTGAAGCTTTCAAGCTCAGCATCTATCAAATGACGGAATGGCCCCTTCAGCCAGTCCTAATTTACCATCCCAGCACCGCCCATTTCGGCTTTTCAAAAGAATCTGAAAAAGTCGATCAGTCTTAGAGATCATTGCAAACCATCAGACAGCTCAACCACTCCCACAAAAGAAAAAGAAAAAGGATGTCTGGAGAAAAGCATAAAGTAAAAGCAGAAAGCAAAAGAAGATAAAAAGAAGCAGACATAATTGCGGTGGTGATGGCATGCAGAAAATGGAATTATGAGCGTGACCCATTGAGCAGAGGGTCGGATTTATTTTTGAATGATGTGATTTATTTTTCTTATCTTTCGGAGACATCTGTATAACCCCATCAAAGGGTAATCATAAAAAAAAAAATTAAAAAAAAATAAAAAATTAAAACGGCAAGCCCAAAATAATGGGCTAGAATGTTATGTGGAGGGCGAAGGCCCATATGCCCAAAAGAGCCAGACCCTCTATTATCACCAACCAGGTGATCAAAAGTACGTACAGTACTACAAAAAAAATTATTCGGCAGCCTGCCACTATTATCACCGACCAGGTGATCAAAAGTACGTTCAGTACTCCAAAAATTATTCGGCAGTCTGCTGCTATTATCACGAACTAGGTGATCAAAAGTACGTCCAATACTCCAAAATTATACATGAGCATCACTCATGTCAATCATACATAAACATTCATGAGCATCACTCATGTTAATCATACATAAACATTCATGACCATCATTCAGGTCAACATTCATGAGCATCACTCATGTCAACATCCATGAGCATCACTTATGTCAATCAGCTTCAAAAGCTTCATTTACAGAGCTCCAACTTCGAGAGCTCCCGCTTCAAAAGCTTCATTTACAAAAGCTTCAGCTTCAAAGCTTCACTTGCAAAGCTTCACCTACAAAGTTTCAGTGCATGGTCTACAAAGACCGCCTCCGAACAACCGCCACTTCGGCCCATACATGGATTGAATTTGAAGTCTCCAGCTAACAACCTCTATTGACTGAAGACTTGGGGGACTACACTATGTACCATATATTGGGCTTCCACAACTGGGCCTTATGAAAAATACTTGGGGACTCTAGCCCATTATTTATGTACTGAGGAGCGAACTCTTATTCTATAAAATAGACTCCCTCACATTCACTAGAGAGCACCCATTATTCATGTATTGAGGAGCGAACCTTTATTTTATAAAAGAGACTCCCTCACTTTCATTAGAGAAAGACTTCTAGCCCATCACTTATGTATTGAGGAGTGAGCCCTTATTCTATAAAAGGGACTCCCTCACCATCATTAGAGAGCATCGCCGCCAACTAAGCAACCGTCTCGCCGCAAGCATCAACTCTAGCCCATCATTTATGTATTGAATAGCGAGCCCTTATTCTATAAAAGGGACTCCTTCACCTTCAACGCCACAAGCCGAGTAGCCTCGCAACATGTGCTACTTCTAGATGAGCATCATTTCACATTGAGCACCGCCTCATATCGGGTATCAGTTCTAGCTGACATCTAGTTACTTCAGCCCACATATGGACTGAATTTCAAGTCTCCAGCCAAAAGACTCTCTTGACTGAAGATTTGGGGGACTACTGTTTGTACCATACTTAGGGCCTCTGTATTTAGATCTCATATAAATACTCGGGGGACTCAAATGTAATTATGTAATAAATGAAGGGGCAAATATGTAATAAGTGATGAGCCCTTATTCTATAAAATGACTCATCACTCTCCTCATTAGGAAAGGCCAAGATTGAGGCCATAGGGAGAGAGCACATAGAAAATAGGCTAGAGAGCATACTGCCTCTAGCCTCCTTGTATATTCATCATTCAGAGTGAAACAATATCAACATCAGTGTGGACGTAGCCCAAGCATTGGGGTGAACCACGATACATCTTGTGTTCTTTACTTTCTTGTAGATTCACGGTCGGATTTACGTTGTTCCAAGACCTCTCCGATTTTGTGTATCAACAATATTGATGAATTTGTTCTTGAGAGATTCACATAATGCAGAAGAATAGAGAGGAAGATAACTCGAAAGAGAGAGAAGGTGAAATTGTACATTGATTTCTTGATAAGCAAGCTATGATTACAATGGTTGTTATATATATATATATATATCTTCCTTACTTAGCTGATATTTAGCTAAAAACTAACTATCCTCCTTATCTCAACTAACTTGTAACAACCTATAACAACTCATTCATTAATCTATTGACAAGTGTTGATCTTCTCTTCACTTGGATCCTTACATATCATTCGTTGGAGTTTTAAAAAATGTGCAAATTAACGAATCATTAAAATGTGTACAAAAATAAATATATCTTTTAAAAACACATAAATACGTGTATTATACACTAATTTACTAAGCTTTGGTACTGCAACAATTTGTTTACATTAAACTTGATATTACTTTGATATTTTTTAATATATAATGCTACTTTAGAAATAAAGTTAAAATGAGGGATAAGAAGGGTTGGTAGCTTAAAGAATGTAGATTAACTTTCCACGGCACGAACTTTACTAGAACACGATAAAATTGACAAGCCTCCCACAAATGTTTTGGACAAATTAGGAAGAGTAAAACAAAACGAAGATTACCTATATATGGGATCAGCCTTATAGACTTTTATTTGCTAGGCAGTCATATCACATGGCGTTACAAATTTTTGCATATTATAACACGTTTATTTATATGTTTTATATATTAAGCTGGAAAATCATCAAACACATCATCTCAATGGGTGATGCGGTGGCGGTCATATTCATAAATGTATCTCATATTTGAAATGAAGTTAAAAACACGAAAGAAAATGATAATTCTAAGAAAATCATATCATTTACATCACATTATACAATTTATTGTAGCTTCTTAATGAGGAAGTTTCTAGTATGCTGACAATTGTTAAGCTCTGAGTACATTAATATTTATACTCGTCAAATCCTTAACTGTTAAATCCTTTAATGCAAAAATCACATTTCACTAATTCGGTACATGCTATATACATGGAAGTATAGTAAAGCTTTGGCCCTAATGTTGGTCCCGAAAGAAAAATGCTTTTTTGTATGATATGAATCTGAAAAGTAAAATTCCAAACCGATGAATTGACATCAGAAGGAACCTTGAGTATAGAGTATGACAGGCATGACAAAAATTGGAATATCAAAGTTTTAGAATCTAGTTAGATAGAGCCTGCCTGCCTCAGCCTACAAAAATCAATCATGACCCTCCAATCTCCAATCTCCAATCTCCAATCTCCAATCTGCAATCCCATTTCTTTTCTTTTTTGTATGTAAAGCATGTATTTGGAATATTGTCGGTGCTAATGCCTTGCTATTTCTAGATTATTTCCAATCATTCAAACCTTGGCATTTGAAAGACTGAAGAAAAATCACTCTCCATCTCCACATACATATGCATGGAAGGTTCCCCATTTCCTTTCACACACGTATAAGTGGAGACTAAGATTTTATATTGTTGATATGCTGAATTGAGGTATTTAATTATTGATATGCAATGATATGAGCGAAGACTTGAGATTTATAACATAACGATGAGTGGTGACTAGTGAAACCAAGTTCCCAAAGCATTAATAAAAAATCAAAAGGGAATTGTTAGACGCACTTTGAAATAATATCTTGACCATGTTAGAGTGCTAAGAGCATTGCTCGGTTGAAAATGTACTAGGTATATTAGTATTGATGATGACATACTTGGTAAATATTATGAATTGCCACGTCACCAAATCCCAAAATGGTAAGAACCTCTATAACAATTGCATGATTTGTTAAAACCATAGATTACATGAACCCAATCTCATCCAATTTGATCCACCATTAAAATCAATTATATACTGATTAAAAAATCTTAAGGAGTAAATCAACGACAAAATAAAATATAAGATCATTCTCCATCCATAGACACAAAATATCATCGATGCTATTACAAATTCAATATGTTTAGTTAAAACTTAGAACAAACACCATAAACTTAGAACAAGATTTTAAAAAAAAACCTCAAGTTGATCATCTAAACACCACATCCCAAAAGTAAAAAGTTGGTAATGTTCATCATGTTTTAATTGCTTAATTGGCATTGGATGAAAACCTCAAGTTGGTACTTGGTAGTGCTTTGCTGCTAAGCATTATATGCATCCACGGAGGACATGCATGGTGCCGCGTAGGGTGGGCCAATCCACGACGCGGACCCCATTTGGCCCATAGATCCTCCCTCCCCTCTTTGTGTAGTCCGCCAATCCCGCCATTTGACACGTTTTTGTGCTTACCGGTTCAATCCCATCATCCCACACCTCTTGTTCTTCGGCCGGTCCAATCAAATCTTTCAACTTTCCCACAATCCCCTCCCCTCTCTCTCTCTCTGCTTTCCCATTTGTCCCAAAAACAAAAACTTATTTACCTCACTCAGTTAAAATCAAACTTCTTGCGAAAATCTAGAGTGATACAGAGTTGCCATTTTTATTTTTGGTCAAAGTCTTTGAGAAGTTTAGAGAGAGAGAGAGAGAGAGAGAGAGAGAGAGAGAGAGGGAGGGAGCCGGTTCACTTTTGTTTTAGCTGCTCTGTTTCACTGCCCCATTTAATCACAGATTCTTTTTGGGCACTCAAAAAGGATTTTTCTTTTCGCTTCCTCTTTGTTATCGTTTCTGGTGTCTGTGGACTTGGATTCCCTTTGCTTTTGTCCCCTTTAGTTATATCGTCCGCATCTGCCTGCCCTGATCGCTTCAAGAAACACCAAGAGAGAGAGTTGCCCAGATATTTGGATGGCCCTCAGATGATGAGGTTGTCGTAAAAACTGGGATTGGAAGATTGGAAGAGCAGCCTCCTCTCCTCTGATTGTGCTTTCGATTCATCTGGGATTTTAATAAATTTCAATCTTTTGTATTGGGAAACAGTTAAAATAAGTTTTTAATTGGATTTGGGGAAATGGGTTGTTTTCCTTGTTTCGATTCGAAGGAGGAGGAGAAGCTGAACAATCCAGCGGCAGAAATTGATGACAGAAAGCAGGGTCAACCAACGGTTTCTAATAACATTTCTAGATTGCCTTCTGGTCAGTTCTTGATTGCTTTTGCTTATCAATCCTTATTGTTTGGTAATTTGAATGTGTTACTGCTCGATCTGATCTGGGTTTTTTTTTCTGATTTAAATATAATTGTATGGATTAGTTATTTGGGTTTGTGTGTTAGTACATGATTGATGACCTCATTGAGTGTTCGAGCTCTAAATTTGAGAGGTTTTAGGTAGACCCCACAAAATTTTGACATAGTTCATAAAAGAGTGTCTTTCTTTTGTAAAAATTGGATCTCACGGTAACTTTGATTGCCCATGATCAATTTGATTGGTAATCAATTGTGTCCAAAGTTGTGGATGATTTCATAAGTCAGTGAAGAACTAAGATCGATATTCATAATTTGATCAAACCGAATATGGTACAACTGAATTTCGTAAAATTTGCTCTATATGGTTTATAAGATGTCAAATTTGAATACGTGTGGTACGTTTTTCGTATTGGGGTTATGGTTTATTGAGTTTCCTTTCCTGCAAATCCAATTGATTTTTGGTTTTGGGTGTTTAGCTTAACTCAAGGTTCTATCTTCTTGTGTAGTCGAGACCGACGGGTTTGATGATACTTAGGGATCTGCACTAATTTGCTACGGTCGTATGTGCAGGAGTAGACAGACTGAGATCAAGAAGCAATGGAGGGTCCAGAAGGGAGCTGCCCAAATTGCCTGATCCTAAAGATGTTGTACCTGGGGGCCAAATTGCTGCCCAAATTTTCACTTTCCGTGAGCTTGCAACCGCAACAAAGAATTTCAGGCCAGAGTCCTTCATTGGGGAAGGGGGATTTGGACGCGTATACAAGGGGCGACTCGAGAGCACTGGTCAGGTAATTCCTTTGCTGTTGCACGATCTATTATTTATACACAGAACAGGAATTACAGGATGAGTTCAATTGAAAAGAAGCAAATGAAGGCAATAGGTACAAGAAATATAAGTAAGATACTAAACATTGATAAGGACTTTTTTTTTAATTACCGTAGCAATCATATAAGTTGTTGCAACTCTATAGCTATATGAAGTATTAATCAAGAATGCTATGTTGTCTTGTTATTTCAACAATAACGAGAATTGAATAACAAATGGCAAGGTTATAATGTGAGCGAGGCCGTAGACTTATGTATCAGTGTCATAACTCATAACGATGGTTGTTAAACTTGCATACCGTATTTGGAATGCAATAATTCTGGATTCCATATCATACTTTCCACTCCATCTCTCCTCGTAAATAAGACGCCAAGGTTATAGAATGCTTATGGTATCCATTGTTAGTTATACATCCCGAAGGTCACTGATGTGCTGCAAGATTTCACAGAATTAATTTCAGGCCTGGTTGAGGCGATTTTGATTATTTGACTTTGTTCTGACATTCACAGGTGGTTGCTGTTAAACAATTGGATAGGAATGGACTCCAGGGCAACAGAGAATTTCTCGTTGAGGTTCTCATGCTCAGTCTTCTGCATCACCCTAATCTAGTGAATCTGATTGGGTACTGTGCTGATGGAGATCAACGGCTTCTTGTTTATGAATTTATGCCCTTAGGATCATTGGAGGATCACCTTCATGGTAACTTTACCTTCCTTCTTTTGGCTTATTGTCTGTTTAATGTCAACTATTGGATAATGATCATGGAATCACCTTGAAGCGTTCGGTTATGTTATATATGAATACTTCTGTTATGCAAATATGAAAAATACATTTGATGCATGCTACACTGAAGTGAAACCTTGAGGGGATATTTACAGAATTGGAACGTATGGTGAATTTTGAAGTTTGGCATATAGGAAAATAGAAGTATTTTCTTACACACACACACATGTTGGTAAAATGGAGAAAAGGAAAAAAGAAACATTTCCTTTTGGGGGCATCGTCTCCAAAAAGTTTGGTGACCTCAATAAACACAGTGCACCAAACTTCTGTTTTCCTGTGTTATTGGACTATTCGTTTTCCCTGACAGTTAATCCAAGTGATAATTAATGACTCACCTATAATGGGTTGTTGATCCCTCTGCAGATCTTCCAAGTGATAAGGAACCATTGGATTGGAACACACGAATGAAAATAGCTTCTGGTGCAGCCAAAGGATTGGAATATCTGCACGACAAGGCAAACCCTCCGGTTATTTACAGGGACTTCAAATCATCTAACATATTGCTGGAAGAAGGATTTCACCCAAAGCTTTCAGATTTTGGGCTTGCGAAGCTTGGTCCCACTGGAGACAAGTCCCATGTGTCCACAAGGGTTATGGGCACTTATGGTTATTGTGCTCCTGAATATGCAATGACTGGTCAGTTGACAGTAAAGTCAGATGTCTACAGTTTTGGGGTAGTGTTTCTGGAGCTGATTACTGGACGTAAGGCCATAGATAGTGACCGTCCCCATGGAGAACAGAACCTTATCACTTGGGTAATTCTCACTTTGTTTCTTGTAGTAGAATTGCCTGCAGAAACTTGTCTTCTTGTTGTGCAGGCTTTGTGGGTCTGGCAAGCATGGGTTCTGTGTTTGTGCAATAATTAAATGGCAGTGGTTTTATGTCTGCAGGCACGTCCATTGTTCAATGATAGAAGGAAGTTTGCGAAATTGGCAGACCCAAGACTTCAGGGTCGGTATCCAATGCGGGGTCTCTACCAAGCTCTAGCCGTGGCATCCATGTGCATCCAGGAACAAGCTGCCACACGGCCTCTCATTGGGGATGTGGTTACTGCTCTGTCGTACCTAGCCAACCAGTCTTATGACCCTAACTTGGCTTCAGGACATGGCCACAGAGGTTCGGGAGAAAAGGATGAGAAAAGGCACAGGGATGGTGGTAGAATATTGAAGAATGAGGAAGGAGGAGGATCCGGACGGAGATGGGATTTAGATGGTTCCGAGAAGGACGATTCCCCAAAGGAAACCGTGAGGATGTTGGATAGGGAACGAGCAGTTGCTGAGGCCAAGATGTGGGGAGAGAATTGGCGAGAGAAAAGACGACTGAGTGCACAAGGCAGTTTTGATGGCACCAACTTGTAGCGCCGTAGTGTACAATGCACCGTCTTCTTCATCCTCAGCTCCTACCCTCGCTTTTTCGCAGATTGGTTAGTTTGGGGTGTTCAATGTAATGGAGAGTTGGTGCAGACCAACTTGTGTCCTGATTTAACCCTTTTTCTCTTCTTTTCCTCTTCTCCGAACAAGAAGAAGAAGAATAATCCATAAATGGAATTTGTACATTATCTTCTACAAGATTGAAGGAAGAACAGAAGAAAGAGGACGTATTTAAAAATTTTGAGAGTAAAAACGTCTGATTAAATGCTGTACGATTCTTCTGCCTTCTGTATTTTTGTGTTTTTGGAACAAAACAAAACAAAATCTCTTGTCCCTACTCCTGTCTTTGTCAACCTTATTATTATCGAGCGTTTTACATGTTTCCTTGGTAATGTGTTTGTACATGATCAATTACTTTCTCCTTCATTACCAAGGATGATCGATTGACTTGCGGTGTTCCTTTTTTCCTGCTACAAAAATGGGGCGTCTTTTTCATCCACAATAAATTATTTCTCTTGATTGACCCTTGATTATGACTGGAAGTTTTTGACAAGAAACGATAGCGCTTTTTCATTATTAAACTATAATCGTTACAAGGGTTCCATAAGGGCATCAAAGTGTTTGAGCCAAAGGGTGAGAGAGATTTAAGATCCATGGTTTGATAAGGGTTAGGGAGTTATTACTATTCTCTAGTGAAGTTTCTTATGGGGATCACCGGATTGGATGTACTGTATATTTTACGGTTGATTTTGGTGCATTGTCATCATAATCCATGATACCAAGCTCTTATTAGGAAAGTCCACGCAATAAAAAGTTGATGTGGCAATTCGAAAATTCCCTATTACTTAATAAGGTTCACATCGATTTACCATATTATCATGTTAGAAGTAAAATTTTACTTTCTAATTTCTTATTTAAATTTCTTCTAATTTAAGTCTCACATTCATCAAGATAAGTGTAGTCCGCATATTAAAACATGATTTTGGTGTAGCGAATCTTACCGTAACCAATATCGTAGGTGGAGCCTACTTGCTTATTACATCAATTATTGTGTGACGAGTTGGAAATTGATGCATCATCTATTGCATAATTTGGTACAGTAGTGTACTAAAAATGTGAACCGTAGAGCATGGTTTATGTTGTCCTATGATGTTTGACGTCCTCACTACTCCTTCGATCTATGCACTAAATTTCAAACTTGATATCAATCTTAATGTGTAAGCAAGAAAATTTCGTGCCAACGTGCAGGATATGCGGAAATATGCAACCTCACAACCCGTGAGATAATTGTGTAAAAGCTCTTTACGCAAACTCCACCGTTGGCTTCTCCTACTATAAACTGGCACTCTCATATGTCAACTTCAATTGTGTTAAAGCTCTTCACGCAAACTCCACCATTGGCTTCTCCTACTATAAACTGGTACTCTCATATCTAAACTTCGTGCTTAATTATGTCTATCGATTACGGCTTAATCAATTAATATGAAAAAAAATACGAAATTAATGTATAAATTTGTGGAGAAAATATGAGAAATTGTGTGTTTTGGGAACGCTGTCATGCATGAGCATTTGTAGTCGAGTCAGTGAAATTTATCACCAAAAATCTTGGTGTATTAGAAGTGGAACTATTCAATATATGTTGTAATTTATTTGTGAATGTTCCAATGGGACTCTTTATTTCCTTGAACACCACATAGCTGTTTTCCGGGCCGTTTAAACAAAAATATTGCTCAAGGAAACGAAGGACATAAATTAAGCATACGTCAATTGATATTAATATTGAGTAGTAGTATTCAAAGCCAAGCGTGGATAGCTGTAGCTTTCCAATTCACATATACTTGTACATCGATGAGCACAGCCACAGTCCCCACGCTTGGAACTGGGAATTTAATAATTAAATAAGAGACAATTAACGAAACATATAACATAACAAGATCATTCCACATCTTGGCGTGATCAAGCGGCTGCTGCTGTTACACATCAAACGAGGTTCGATTGATCGTAGTTTTTTTCTTTCCGAGAAGTACGACATACGACTTTGCCAGCATCACACTGCTGATGGTGTTTCATTAGGTTGAAGCTCGACGGAAGCATTTTCCACATGACGATGATCATCCGTTTGTTCATGCTCCTTTGCCTCTGTAACGGCTGCGTTATTATTAACGTCACCGTCATCATTGCGATTGTTCGGTTGAGCATCCGCCGGATGAACCTCGGAAGCTGCTAATGTGGCTATGATCACAATGTTTTTCACGTGATCTGGTGTGGCAGCCGGCAGCTTTTTCTCATGATCTTCTATTATCACCTGCTTTCGGTTTCGGTACATCGCATACAGCAGCATCTGAAGCAGTCCCAACACAAATCCCAGAACGTTTGGAATCTGCAACAAGTGATTAATCAATTATTCAGTTAATCAATTATTCAGGGATAATTGATTTGAAAATAGATTTAAATTAGTAAGTATACTTACTGCGACACATATGTCCTTGAGGAACAATCCATATGCAAACCACATAATGGCACTCAGTGTGAGGAAAAATGATAACCTAAATGGCATAAATTCGACACTTCTTGTTCGGATAACTTGTGACTGCAATACAAATCAATAAACTGAATGAATATGTTATATTACACTCATTATATGTGCTCGGAATATAAGTAAAGGTAATTAAATGGCGTTGAGAGTTCATTTAGAGCTCCAAATTTAACATTTTAATATTTTAAAACACTTCAAAAATAAATATAAGCAGACAATATCAGAGTGTGAATAACATTTACGTAATTGAAAAAAGCACCAACAAATAATATGGTCATATGTTTGTATGATTGAGTCAATTACCACAATGCTTAACGGCGCAGCAAAAACACTGGTAGAAATGGCAACATTAATCCATCCAAGAACTGGGACCCGGTACGCACGACTCACTAGGAAGTGAGACACGACAAGGATCAAGGTGAAAAGTCCCACGTTCATAATACCAAATAGTTTCACTGTAAGCTTCTGCATTCCGTAAATATATAGAATTATTAGAGAATATATATAATACAGAGAAATTGAAATTATATTGATATATACAAAAAAAAAAAACAATTAAAGATGAAACATACGTACGTACCCTAGCATCCTTTGGTGCATAAACAACGAAGATGACGATGTAGATCATCTCTGCAAAACTTCCGAATGAGTTAATGGTGATGAGCAGCATAGCATTCTTTTTTAGCGACGCATAGTACAACCAAAGCATGGAACTGAACATTGCTACCAGATATGGCACCGAGTGGAATCCTTCTGTCGATTTTTTCCTGTAAATTCGATAAAATGTCGGCCTGCATTTAAAAAAAAGGTTAATCATATGTCTCTTTATAGACTTATATACATATTATTCCTTATATTTAAAAAAAAAAAAAAAGTATGCATCACTTACACCGGGGCTAAGTAAACCATGGTTGAGACTAGATTTCCTGGCATCATCAAAGAAATAATAGTGGTCATTCAAATAGAATTTCTTGACTATCAAAAGATTACAATTAGTTAAAATAAATCACACTTTTCATTATCTATAAATTAGTGGGTAGTGGTGAGGAAGGTTGATCATCAAGGATCACAATGATTTACAGCGTTACTTATAAATTAACAAGAAGTAATAATTGGACAACTAATATTTGAATATTGTACACACAAAGAAAATTTATTGTTGTATATATGGTTTGTTTTTATATATATTTATTTAGCTAGGCTTTTCTGCAAAGAAAAAAGTAGTCACTGAATTTCAGACGGTTCACTAACGGAAAAAGAATATGGCCAAGTTGATGACAAAGATTAGATAACAAATGCGGGCCAACTAGGTTTTAAAGGCGTCATAACTAGAGAAGAATATGACAATAACAAACAATAGTATATGGCACTCAAACAAATATATATGATCGATCGAGCCCCAAAAATGACATTTATGTATCGTGTTTGTTCAGCTCCTTCATTTGGTACACCCAGCTAGCTTGCTAGTAGCTGGCTAGTTCCCATCACAATAACTCACCTAAAATTTCATGGAAACAACTAGTACGTAACGAGCCATTCGCGTTAGTTTAGTGGTGAGGATGAGTAGGGTGATCGGGAGGGATATGCTAAGTACAGAGGTGGACACTCTCTAATGTAACAAAAAAATTTGGAAAAAAAGAAATTTCAATGGATAATGTACATATGCAATTTTGTTTACCTAGAACTCCAAATGTAAATGCCAAAGGATGGTGACTGTCTGCTACTGTAGCCATGATCTCTCTAGATCTGAAAACCGTAGTTAGCTAAGAAAAGCTCGGACTGATAAACTCTCTCTCTCTCTCTCTCTCTCTCTCTCTCTCTCAATGGAAATGAAGAGTATGATATGTTGAAGAAGCTAAGGAGGAGGAGGACTCAGTTGGTGGTGAGAAACCCTAGAGCTCTCTCTCTCCCTCCCTCTCAAATTCTCATGCAGAGAAAATTAGAGGAGCTTGTTTATATACACACAAAAAGTGAAAGAAAAAGAAATAGGGTGTGCGTATTGAACTCATTCTGGCTGCATGACAGATGGAGGATTAATAGGTGGTGTACCATGCTCTCGAGAAATTTTTCAATATGCCAGAAATACGGCCTAATACATCAAGTGTCATAATGCAAGTAGTTGGAAGAAAAAAATTTAAGTATCAAACAACTAGTATTATGACATTTTATGTACCAAATCATGTTCCCGCACAATGAAAAACTACTCATTGAACTCATTCAATGAATCACAAATCCAAGTTCCACGTGCCCCTCTGTCGCGTGTGCGTAACCTCCATCCAACGGCCACAAAAAAAAAAAGCAGAGCATTATTCACCACACTTCTTGACACTACTTTGGATAGGAATTAGGGTAGTCCCCCAAATCATCACCATAATTATTCAAATAATTAATTTCACCGTAAACCGCGAATTAGGAAGAGTTATATAGTTAGAGTTTTGGTTAATCGTCACTAATTTACTAATTTTTAATGAGTTTTTTTTCTAATCAAACATGAATTCCACGCTCTTTGAAAAAACAAGTGGTTTCTTCCAACTAAAATAAGAATATGATTTTTTACGTTACTATCTCTTCTAAGACCGCAAAGCTGTCCTTAGTAGAGCCCGATTCATGTGACTTCTATATCTCTAATTCCAAGCACCAGTGCATACTGTATGGCCATTGTTTGAACCGTTTCTCTCCATCTTCTAAAACCCTAAACGAAACACGCTTGGGCGCGTCAGCCCTAGTTGTCACTTGTAAATTCTCACAAGTCACACGCAGACAATATAGTTGTATATATATACTTTCGGAACACTTGCCACGAAGTGTTATAATAAAAATAGAGAATTATTATTAACACTCTAAAAAATTTAATTATGCACTCCTCATAAATCTTTCTAAATATAGAAAGTTTGGATTGCACAATTAAATTTTTGAAATGAAAATAACAATTTCTTAAGAATATAGACAACAAATTTGATATGTTCTACTTGTAGGGCCTCAAAAATAAATATACTTATTATAAATTGAATTGAATAACACAACCTGACAATATTTCAATTACAACAAACAATCTTTCCAAGTCACACACTCAAAGATTTACAATATTGTTCACAAAGCTTTTGTTCTATGCCGTTGAATGTTTGTTTGGTAGTGCTTCAATGTTCATGCAATATTTAGAGGGTTTCGTGTGCATCGGGGGTTTATCTGACTGACTTTTTTCTTCTTCAAGTAATCAAATTCCACAATCCAAGCAGCCTGGCCAGCTTTTTTCATATTTTTTGCAGTTTATGAGATGGGGACGGAGGGAGGGAGAGGTTTTAAGTTATGACAAAAGAATTTAATTAAAGATGAGCCACAAGACAATCATGATGTTGTTACTCGTTCTTGTCTCTATCATTTGGCTGGGATTCGAGAATGCTAGGTGGACACCATGGGAGCCTCTGGACAGATTGCTAGATATGTACATGGCTATTCCATCGACGTTCATTAATTTGTGTGATTTGGTTGCCATTTTCTTTTATTTTTCTGGAGTTTAGATCCTTTATAAGTTATGTTACTTTAATAATATTAGAGTAACAACTCGTTATTGATCAATGAGAACGCGCGACGTAAGCATGATAAAATTTAAACAAGTTTCATAACTAGACTAACAACTCGTCATTGATTAATGAGGAAATAACAAGAAATGTGAATTTGAGACATTTTCTAATTTGGAAAGATAAATACATCTAAACTAAGAGCTAATTGATACGTGCGTTTTTCAGACTTTTAATTTGAGCAGTATATTCAACCAAGTGTTTGATTAGTAATCTAAGCTAGTTGATATTTGACAAATTTGAGAAAAATAAGTTTCTTTTTCTCACCCCAAAAGCCAGAAATGTAGGTCGGTGTGCTGATTTTATGGAAAGGGATCCTCTTCTGATCCACTTTGTGAGGATCCTAGGGATCCTCACATCCTAACCATTCATCGTACTTCGTGTGATCAATTTTCGTCAGATACTATTTGTGTTTAATTTTAAATAAAATAAAAAAGTCAAATGATTTTTGACAGCACGATACACGATAAATGACTAAGATGTAAGGATCCCTAAGATCCCCATAGAGTGGATCCGGATGAGATCCAATTCCTGACTTTATGACGTAATAACTAGTCCTTGCCTCCTGAAATGATTTGAGCTTTTTATCTCAAATATGATCCTTTTCGGATACTCTTTGTGGGGATCCAGATGATCAATCAATCGTGTCCGTTCATCGTATATCGTGCGGTTAGAAATCATTTTAAAATTTTAATTTAAAATTGAATATAAATAGTACTTAAAGAAAATTGATCGCACGATATACGATAAACGGATCCGATTGATTAATTCCTGGATCCTCATAAATTTAAAGAGGATCTAGAAAGAATCCTTGTCGTTATCTCATGATAATTGAGAGAACAATAATGCAGTGATATCGACATGTTCATTAATTGTGTGCCACCAATACCATGCCGTTGATATTATTCAACCAAATATTACGACGTTGAGCTACCTCTCACTCCTTATACGATATATATAAAGCGATGGCAATCTAATCTTGCATTTGCATTATATAGTTGGCATTTATCGGTGGCCAGCTTCTGAACACCTAACACTGAAATTACCCTACCGTTCGAAAAAAACTTGTGTGGGACTTGGCTTACCAGTAGACTTCATTGAGTGACATTACAACTCACTCAAAGCTCGCCACATGGCAAGTCAAATATAATCTTTTACCATTTTTTTTATATTTAAAATTTTCAGAATTATTTTTTCTACTGATTAATTTATATTTAATCTAATGTTTCCTTTTTTTTCTTCTTTCCCCCTATTTTTTGTTTTCTTCCCAAATTCCCCTCCAGTTTGTTTTGCCATAGGTCTTCAGCACTCTTTCCCACTTCTTTCTCTTCCAGTTTTGTTTCTTGCTTTCCTTCAAAAAAAAAAAAAACACCCACTCTAATTTTATCATGGAAAGCAACCAAGAATCTGTAAGTTTCTTTTCGTTCTTTATATAATAGTTACTTTGATCATGTAAACTTGACATGTATAACCCACATATATAGGCGTATAAGGGTTTTATTTCTTCTTAATTATATTTGAAAGAGATGTACTTTCTTGAAAATAGAAAACTACTACGATCAAAATAAAGTGAAGGATAACAAATAGGTTATGAAAATATTAACTCGATAATCTGGAGTGTGCACTTTGGTATTTATAGGGAGGAGAGAAACAGTGGGAGAAAAGAAATGTTTGTATTTGGAGAGAGGAGGGGGAAAGAAAGCAAAGAAATTTTCTGAAGAAAAAAGTGCAGAATTTCATAAAAAGCAAGAACCACAACCGTGTTGGGGGGGGGGGAGGGAAGAAGTGGGAGAGACAGTGAAGAGAACGACAAAACAAAGTGGAAGGAAGTTTTTTTTTTTTTTTTTTTTTTTGGGAAACTAAGTGTAGGGAAGTTTGGGAAGAAAAAAAAAAGGGGGAAAGAAGAAAAAAAAATGGAAACATTAGATTGATATATATATATATATAAAATATTAATTAGTGAAAAATAATTATGAAAAATTTAAATATAAAAGAATGATAAGAGATTATATTTAAGGTTTGCCACGTGACGAGTTTTGAATGGATTGCAGTGCTACTAAGCGAAGTCCAATGACAAGTTTTTCTCCTATCGTTCATGTATAGCCAGAAGAACCACACACAAAAATAGAAAAAATAAACTTAAAAAAATAAAAATAAAAAGGGTTACATATGGTATGATTCATCATCGATGATTGCTTGCTATTTGTTATATATCGATCTCATCAAAATTAAAGCTGCCAATTTTTCAAAAGGCACAGGTGCTTACATGCACATGAAGGATATTGCCATGAAATTTTAACCTGGTGCACTGTGCTTGAAATGAAGTCAAACACTTAACATTCTATCGATAAAAGAAAATATAGAACTAAAAATATGATTACGTACACCCGAAAACCCTAGCTAATAATCTATGCTTAAATAATTAAGGATTTGACTTTTAATTATTAAAATTAAGGTAACTAGCTTAGGTAGGTACGTAAACCCTTAAATGATTGGAATTGAAATAAGAGAGAGATCGATACCTCCCATAATTGATACTTTTATATTACATATGAGCCAAACTCATTTGGGGTTGATTAATTTCACTTTCAGAAGGGAAGAAACTTAGTTATTACTTTAATCTAGTATCCTTATGCATGAAGATAATCAATTCGGTCGTTGTGGCCGGACTCTATTATGGATTTATGACCACATTCTCCATAGGGTTCTCTTATCTCTTCCGATCTCCGAGCACGGGTTATGGAAGAAGGAACTGAGAATAAAGTATCGGCAACAATCAATTTTGTTACGAAACTGATCATGATGTTCATATTGATCTATTATGTGTCTCTGCATCTGGCATTGAGTATACTATTGGATTGGAACCAATGACTCCTACCGTCTGAAAGCAATAATCTAACCACTAAGTTAAGTAGGTCATTTATCATCGGGTAATACTAGGGAGACAAAATTTACAAACTAAATGATGTGTCACCAATAAGAATGAATACGTTTATCAACGTTTAAGTAATAAACCAATCAAATATATCAAAGATATATAATGTTGGTTTGTATATTGTTAACGAATTAGAGGACGAGAAACCAAAAAAATGTGAAAAATGAATTGCAAACTCTGAATTTTTATTCACTAAAATTAAGAAGAATACTACATAGGACTACGTGATTCATAATCCGAAAATATTGATTACACCTTGCCAAATTTAATCCCCGCCTGCAGACCTAATTCCTAACAAACAAGAACACAATGGTACGCCTAGTAAACATAGAAGAGTAATCTAAATTCTTATCCTACTAAAAAATCTTAAATACACAAAAAGTATCTTAATATAAAAGTGAACCAAAT